CCCCGTCGGGCAGCCCCGCCCGCTGCCCCATGTGGGCCCCTGCGCAAATTTGTTCGCTAATGGCGCAGGCGATTATCTGCTTGCGGCGCGGTGTGCCCCGCAGGCAGGGCCGGGACCCAGACACGCGGGGGGCGCGGGGCGCGGTAATTAGCGCGAGCCCTTTGTTTGCCTTTGATCGCCAGCCGCTCCCGCCCGCAGCGCGGCGTCCGGGGCCCGGACCCCGACCGCGGCCGCGAGATGTCGCCGAGCCCCGCGCTGGTGCTGCTGCTGCCGCCGCTGCTGCTGGGGGCGCTCCCGCCGGCCGCCACCGCGCGAGGTGAGTGCTGGCGCCGCCCCTTCCCGCCAGCCTTGACCCCTGCCACAGTACCCGCCTGGTACGCGCTGCTGCCTGGCCAGCCATCTCCCCGGGGTTCCGCAGCACGCCTCCTGCACCCACAGTCGCCCACAGAGGAATTTCAGTTTACCTGCAAAGTACGTGGCTCACTCCCACTGGAACCTCAACTCATCAAGGAGTACCCCTACCCCCACGCTCACCCTTGTTGTATCCCCTGCTCACCTCCATTTTCCTCTCCACAAACCCCCTTACCTACACACCGAGCTCGCCCTAGGGGTACCCACAGCTCATTCCGGTCACCCTCAACTCACCCTAAGGGAGCAAGCGGCAGCTCATCTCCAAGGTACCCTCCGTTTAGCCATGGGGTACACATACCTATCCTCAGTATCCCCAGCTCACCTGTTGGCCCCCAACAGGGCTTGCTGCCCAAGTGGACTCAAGACACACCAGTGACCTTGCATTACCCAATTTTCATACATGCAGGAGTGTGGAGTGCAGCTGGTCACTCTGTAAGTTTGGGGGAACTGTGTTGTTTGTGGTGACAGTGGACCCACCTGGATCCTTGGGAACTTATCCGGTCCCTGTGTGGCCTGGCTGGGGTATGGGAGACATTGGTGATGTCTGGTGCCTGGGCCTGATCCTGACTCAGCCCTGGGCCCTGGCTGCTCATCCAGCTTAGGGGGTCCCCAAGCATGAGGGGCTATTGTATGGTGAAGGGTAGTCTTGGGCTGATAATGGAGGACCTTGGGTGTCAGGAGCCACAGTGTGGCCATCCCAAGGGGACTGCCCTGCCCTGGGACACAGCCTAGCCATGGGCATCTGTGCCCAATGGGCAGTATGTGCTGGCGGATTTCTGCCTACCATGTTCTAGGGCCAGGCAGGCCTAGTGCTGGCTGCCCAGGGTTAGGCGGGTCCTGGGGTGTGTTGACCATTCAGGATCGCCCTCTGTGTCCACCAGTCCTCCCCCGCTGCCCAGCAGTGCACTGAGCCCAACCTGGCCTTATATGGCCACGTTCGGGTGTTGGGCAGCGGGTGGCAGCCCAGGTGGGACCTATGCCACTGTCACCACCCCCCCACCCCCCCGCCGCCGCCGCCGCCGCCACCCGCCCAGTTATGGTTGGCTGGAGGGTGGGGGCTGTCCAGTGTGGCCAGGCCAGGCAGTGTCCTAGGCAATGTAACAGTGCTTAGGCCATGCGGGGTGCGCCCCACCACTGCCTGGCTTTCATTCTTATCTGTGTGGATGCCCTCATCCTAGTACCTGCCTGTTCTTTGGCCACTTGGCCAAGAGTCTCTGGAGGCTTATATCCTCCTATGGTCCCTGGCCAGCCTGGAGGTGACTGACTGGCGGATGGTGTGGAAAGCACTACCTGCCCTTTGCTGAGGGGCCCTGGGAGGTTGCCCCCCCATCTGTCTTGGCTCTGTGCTGAGGAGGGAGAGAATCTTCTCTGGATGGGTGGAGCTGTGGTTCACTACGGAGGTGTGGGGACTGTTTTCCTGAGTTGTGCTGAGTTCTCCCCCAGGCCTCGCTCAACTAGAGGCTGTTTCAAGGGTTCTTGCTCCTCCGGTGAGCAGGCCCCACCTGAACTCTTCATAGACCCAGAGCCAGATGCAGCCTGAGCTGTTTTGAAAGACATTTCCCAGGTTGTCACAGTTTCTGAAATGGGTACCGCTGTAAATCCAGATCATATTTTTAAGAGTTCCCCTTTGCCCCAAGTTTCACAATCCTGGGTTTGTCCTAGTTTGTGTTTGCAAGAGGTAGGACTTGGCTTCCTCTGCTCCCTGTTGTTTCTTGCAGTAGAAACTCAACACAGCTTCCAGTGAGAGACCTTCCACAGCAGGCAGCTCTCAGGCCGCCGGCCGGCCTTTCTGAATGGTGCACTAGTGGGCCCTGTGGGGACGACTGGGGTCAGCCCTCGGGCCAGCCCGCCAGCCCCTCTCCTGCCCTCTGAGCCCAGCCACCCTGCTCCCTGCCGGGCTGCAGACAGTGTGCCCTTGGCACCTGGCTGTGGGTACTGGAGGGTCAGGAGGCCGAGGCAGTGCGATTCCGTGGGGTGCAATGGAGGGCTGGTGTGTGCACTGACCCTGTCCCCTCTCTTTTTATCTGTCCAAGGCAGTGTGTCACTGGGGCCGAGGTGGTCATGCAGGAGCCAGGCCCAGGCGTTGTGAGGTGGGGATGTGGGGCAGCCTCCCTGTTCATGTCTGGGGCCCCCTCCTACAAGGAAAATAAATCACTGTCCCCTTGGGGGTGGGGGAGCTGTGAACAAAGTCCTCTTTGGCTGGACTTGGAAATGCAGACCGCAGGCTCCTTTATCCTTTGTGCAGGAATCAATAGGGCTCCAGGCTCTCAAAGTTGCCTTTCAGCCAGTGTGCCCTGCACCATGGCCCTTGCTTGGGGAAATGTTGGTTTTTCCCCCGCAGAGGCCTCCAGCCTCAGGCCGGCCCAGCCCTGGCGTGGGCTTTGCTGGCAGTGGTGGGGGCTATGAGCTGTGGCACCCCACTGCTGGCCACCCGCCCGCCATGTGGCTGGACCCGGTTCCTGGCCCATGCTGGCCATCTCTGCTGTATTCTGTGCTGCAGGCAGGCTCTGGCCTGGCTTGTCCAGGTGACAGCCGTGTGGCCAGAGGGAAAGGTATAGCACTATCCCTAGACCTCACTGACCCCGCCCCCCCAGCCCTGTCTCCAATCACTCTTCCTTGCGAGGTGACAACCGTTGTGGTTAGGCCTTTGGCAGCAGTTCCAGGACCCATGGTGGGGGTGATGGGTGGGAGCCAAACCAGGCAGGCCCAGCAGAGGTGCTCCCTCAAGGGCAGCAGGCAGCTGGGCTGAGAGTCCTCCACCTGGGAGCTGTTAATGCTGAGGAGCTTCCTCTGTGGCAGGAAGCTCATCTCTGTCCTCTTCCTGGCCAGCGAGTTTATCTCTTGAGACGTTTATATAAGGTGTTCCGGTCCTTGGGACCAATGATGGGCCTCCAGGAGAGGAGGAGGAGGGAGCCATATGGGCTGGGCTCTCAGAATGTGGACTCCATGTTTGGGGTACCCTTTGTGCCTCACAACCCACCTACCTGTGGGCTGGGGCTGCAATATGCAGGGCTGGGCAGGACTCAGAGGGCTGGACAGCTGCCCTTATAGTCTCTGGGTCCCCAAGCCTGCGCTTGAGAGGGGCTCCCCAACCTGGCCCTGCGCTGTGTGGGTTGCTTGGGCTTCCCTGCCTGAAGCCAAGCTTGCCTGTGGGGTGGTCGCTCAACTTGTGCCTGACGTCTGGCTCGAGGGCTCTGGGCTCAGGAAGTGGCCTCTTTTAACATCTGAGGTGCCAGGGGCTTGCAGGTTAGGGGTCAGGGCCTATGGAGAGGCAGGCACCTCTGGGTGCTGCAGTAAGGGACAGCATTCTAGGGTTGACACTTGTGAGGTACAAGGTGGGCACAGGGGCAGGGGTCTCTGGCTTCCAGTGGTCTTGGGAGGGGGTTTGCTCCCTGGGAGACTGTGGTGGCCACCACCTGCTGTGGGCGGTGGCCCTGTCTGACATGGTGCTGGCTGTGTGTGGCCTGGGTGTGTCGAGGAAGAGGCTGTTGAACCAGCAGTCCACAGGAGGACTGTGTGATGGCCCCAGGGAAGGTGCAGGTTGGAGAGCCAGGTGTGTCCACAGGAACCCCCAACTGCCCTGTGTATTCACCTGTGGCCACTACAGCAGGGTCAGCACCTGAATGCTCAGCCAGTGTGCTGGGCACAGTACCCCTTGGCTTCTGTAGCAGCCACCTGTCCCTCAAGTCCTCCTTGCACCGTGGCAGTTTATGTGCACGCCCTGGGCCTGGGTATGTGTGTAGTGTGTGTGCCCTGGTACCCGGAGGTCCCCTATGCTCTCCTCCTGGGGACACCCTGCTCTTCTTCCCCCAGCTGTGGCTTGCTGGGGAGGTGGGGCCCTGGATCTTCTCTAGGGTCTCTCACTTCAGCCCCAGGTGGGCTGCAGGGCCCTGGGTATGGTTTGGGGCCCCTATCTCCCCCGTGTCCAGGGCCTGTGCGCTGCCTGGGAGAGGACTCAGCATGTGGCTGGCTGGTTGCCCTGTTGCTGCTGGGCAGTGCCTGGGAACCTCTGGGCCCAGCTCTCCCTGGCCGTCCCACGGTGGGCACAGGTGTCCTGAGGGCCTGGCTGCGCCTGTCTTCTCTCTGTGGCCCTTTGAGACCCCCAACTCATCCTCTCCAGGAGGGGCTAGAGGACGGCAGCTTCCAGCTTGCTGCCCCTGTCCGTGAGGCCAGCACCTGGCCAGGCCACAAATTCCTGGGCCCTGCGGGCCTTGTGTGAGCTGGGCTGGGCTAGGCTTGCTCATGCTTAGGGCCCAGCCCACGCCCACTGTGTCCAAGGTCAGAGCCCGCTGTCTGCCTGCACCTGCCCTAGTCATCGGCACAGGGTAGCCTGTCCATTCTGACATGCCTTTGCTGGAAGCCCGCGTCACCTGCCTCCATGAATTTTGCAGAGTCAGGGAGGAAACCCAGCTCCTGCAGGTCAGGGCCTTTGGTCTTGAGCCTGCCATGCAGCTCTGAAAAGGGCGGTTCTTGTTTCCTGGGGCCTGGCGGAGGTGTGGCCTCTAGGTGGCTCTGCTCTGACTGCTTACCCCAGCACTCCCCAGCACTGCTGGAGTCGGTCCCCTGGGCAGACCTGTGGGAGAGGGGTAGGAAGGAGCCCCTACATTCTGCCCTGAGGCTCCGATCAGAGGGATGAGAACACCTGCTGGCTGCCCACCTGGTTCTGCCTGGGGATTGCTGAAGGGGCCTGGGCTAGAGGGGGGGACTAGACAGCATTGCCTGAGGGAGGTCCAGGCAGGGCTGCTGCCTCCTCCAAGGGCAGTGGGGTGGTTGGTGCCCATGGGCTCAGGTCCTGCCTCAGTTTCCCCACTGGCCAAGTGGGCTCTGTGGCTCTAGTAGAACAATGGGGGCTTGTGTTTCCTGGGCTAAATACAGAGCTGTGGTGGCTGCAGCCCAGATCCCTGGCAATCAGGGCTGGTTTCCTGCTGGGCGGCCCTCACAGGGCTCTGCAGAGGGCGAGGGTGCAGAGGGGAGGACAGGGGAGGGGAGGGCTAGCCGGTGCTATTTGCTTTAGGATAAGCCTGGCTCCTCTAGATGGGCTCCCGTCGGCCTGTCCCCACATCATGCAAGCTGCGACCATGCTTCTGGCCATCTGGCAGCACGGGCTCTGCCTCTTCGCAGCAGTGGTTCCAAACAGGGGTCCCACTGCTCTTGTCTGCTCCAGTCGGAGGCCCTGCCCCCTCTCCAGGCGTTCCTGTCCCCTTCCCAGGCTGGGCTGGGGCCTGGGTCAGCCTGGCCTTGCTGCCCTGGACCAGGCTAATCTCGGCAGGGGTGCGTCTCCAGCTTGTGCACATAGGTGTGTATGTGTGAGTGAGGGGTCTGCCCAGGTGGCCTGGGCACCAGACTGGCAGGTAGGGCGTGGGAGCTATGGGGGCCACAGTAGGGCTGCCACTCCCTGGTCCTGCAGTCTGGGAGGCCCTGTGAGTGGTGGAATTCAGACAGTGACAGGTGGGTGGGCAGGGTCTGCCTGGGTTGGGGAGGGGCTGGGGGCTCCATGTCTGTGCTGGGTGGGCGCTGGGGGCCCGGGACAACTGTGGATGGCCGGCCTGCCTGCTGCCAGGTGCCTGGGTGGACTGTGGGGAGGAAGAGTGAGGAAAGGGGGCTCTCATAGGAACCTCAGCTTGGGGCCCATGGTGCAGAGGAGGTGGTGGGTAGAGGGGGGATGTTGGTCAGAAAGGAGGGTTTCCTGGTACAAGGGGTAGTGGGGAGCCCCTCTTCCAGCTCCGCAGTGTGGTCCTCCAGCAGCACTGATGACTGGCAGCCCCTCCGGCCCTTAGGTGCCCCTTCAGAGCAGGTGCTGTGAGGCTAGGAAGACACCGCTGAGGTTTGGGGCTGCAGCCGGCTGGTCGTGGAGTGTGCACGCCCCAGTCCTGTTGCAGTGCCGTCTCTGAGCACCCGTGTGCAGCAGCCCGGGTGCTGTGCCTGGGATGTGTGTGGTCACCCTGCGCTGGCCCCAGCTGCAGCTCCATCTCCCCGACAAGGCCGCCTGCCGGGGCGCACACATTGATGATACCTGAGGGTCTGTGTCTGGAGCTTCTTCCCAGCCAGTGACACTGCCCACTCCCTGATGTCTTGGTCACCTCTGTCCCTGCATCCTCCAGAGATAGCCCTGATGGATCTGACAGGTGAAGGAGCCAGGAGTCTCTCTGTAGGGGGTGGGAAGCCTGGGCCTTGGCCCTCCCTGGGGCCTCCTGGAGTGTGCCAGGCAAGACCACTTTGACCTCAGGACTGTGGTTTGCAACCCCCTGGGGTTCAGCCACCACTGTGGGCAGATAGTGTCTGGGCTCAGGCTCAGGTGATATGGGACACCCTCACTGCCCACAGGCTGTCCAGGGGTGCTGTCCTGCTCCTTGGTCACCTGTGATAGCTGTGAGGTCGCTGTCCTTGATCTAGACCTGGCTAGGCCCTGAGTGACGGTGAATGTCGGTGTGGCAGAGGGAGGGGTCTCCAGCAGAGAACTGGGACTATGCCTGGTGAGGGACAGCAGGAGCCCCCAGATCTGCCCCATCCCTGAAGGCCCTGTCTTTTTATTTATTTATTTAGTGGAACCAGGGATTGAACTCAGACCCTTAACTTGCCAGGCAAGCACTTATTCTACTGAGCTATCTCCCCAGCTACCTCCCCAGCCCCCACTTTTTTTTTTTTTTTAACATTTATTTATTTATTTTGTGTGTGTGTGTGTGTGTGTGTGTGTGTGTGTGTGTGTGTGTGTGGCCAGCTCAGCCCACCAGGGGGCAAGGCTGGCTGGCATGTGGTGCTGGGGGATCGAACCGTGGTCCCTGTGCTTTGCCAAGCTTGTTCCAAGTACGTGCTTTAGACCACTGAGCCATCTCGCCAGCCCTCATGGCCCCTTCTAATAGGGCTGGATATTCCTTTTTGTTTTCTGTTCATTTTGCAGTACTGAGGATCCAGCCTGCCTTTTCTGTCCCTAGCCTTAATTCTCACTTTAAGACAAAGTCTCACTAATTGCCTAAGTTTGATTGGTTTTTGCTACAAGAGCTCCTTGTGTAACCCAGGGTGGCTTCAAAGCATGGCGACCTTCTTGCCTCAGCCTTCCAAGTGCTGAGCTTGCAGGCGTGGGATCCCACCCCTCTGGGACTGTCTCCAGGACCTCCCCAGGTATGGGAGGCTTTGAGGGCTGTGGCTCCAGCCCCACTTCACTGGGCAGGAGTTGCTCTGACCTTGTTCCTTACCTGAACCCTCCCATCCTACAGGCCCCCCAAGAATGGCAGACAAAGTGGCCCCACGGCAGGTGGCTCGGCTAGGCCGCACTGTGCGGCTACAGTGCCCCGTGGAGGGAGACCCGCCGCCCCTGACCATGTGGACCAAGGACGGCCGCACCATCCATGGAGGCTGGAGCCGCTTCCGTGTGCTGCCACAGGGGCTGAAGGTGAAGGCGGTGGAGGCAGAGGACGCGGGCGTGTACGTGTGCAAGGCCACCAATGGCTTTGGCAGCCTCAGTGTCAACTACACTCTTATCGTGATGGGTTAGTGGGGTATGGTCAGTGGGTGTGACAGGGTGGTAGATGGGGGGCCTGGGTCTCTTGGTGGCTAGCCACTTCCTGGCAATACCAAGCATGGTGGCCAGGCAGTGGCACCCCCAAGGGCATGGGCAGCCAGGGGCTTGGCAGGGTGTACCCTTGTGTCTTACAACACTGAGCTCAGGTTTCACAGTTCAGAGGGGCCGCGGGAGGCAGAAGCCTCTGTTCTTTCCCGCCCAGGGGCCGTGGCCCTGGTAGTGAACAGGTGGCCCTGGTGACAACGCCCTCCCCATAGTACCAGGCACACCCTGCTCCACCCAGCTCCCTGGTGTGGGCCTGAGCTGACCACTCAGCTTCAGGGTCCAGGAGGGCCCCAGCTCAATTGAGTGGCACTGTCTGGGTGGGTGGGGGACACTCCTCACCATGTCCTCCCCCAGCCCAGCCTTCACTGAGACAAGGAATGGGAATACTGAGCCCCACCCCCACCCAAGCTCTGCAGAGGGGACTGTGACTAGGCGGTATGTGAGCCATGTCTGCCTCCCGAGCCCTCGGCCCCTTGATGTGGGCTAGGGTTACTGCAGCTGCCAGCCGCCGGCCCCTTCCCCCCACCCCCCACAGACCCCCCGGAGCCCGGGTAGGGGGGCCAGCCCTACAGTCCCATCCATGACTGTCGGGGTCACCTGCACTTAGGGCTGAGGCTGGCGGGCGGCCCTTACCCAGCTGTCCTTGGACTCTGAGCCACTGGAGTGTCAGTGGCTTCATTGGGGTTCCAGGCCTACATGGACACCAGGAGAGGGCCCGGGTATGCCCTCACCATAGACTCCCCCTCACCACAGACTCTCCTCTCCTTGCAGATGATGTTAGCCCTGGGAAGCTGATCCCAGGGCCTGGCAGCTCCTCGGGGGACAAGGAGGACCCAGCTGACCAGCAGTGGGGTGAGCATGGGGGTATCCGCCAGGACAGGACGGCTGCCTCCTGGGGCCCTGCACACGCCCAGCTGACTGTGTGTCCCCTTGCAGCACGACCCCGCTTCACACAGCCGTCCAAGATGCGGCGCCGGGTGATCGCACGGCCTGTGGGCAGTTCTGTGCGGCTCAAGTGTGTGGCCAGTGGGCACCCTCGGCCTGACATCACATGGATGAAGGATGACCAAGCTCTGACACGCCCAGAGGCTGGAGAGCACAGAAAGAAGTGGACCCTGAGCTTGAAGAACCTTCGGCCTGAGGACAGCGGCAAATACACATGCCGGGTGTCAAACCGGGCAGGCGCCATCAACGCCACCTACAAAGTGGACGTGATCCGTGAGTGCCAGGGCGGGCGGGCGGTGGGGACCTGAGGCTGGGGTGGGTGCTGCCAGCAACACACACATCCCTGCTGCAGAGCGGACACGCTCCAAGCCCGTGCTCACTGGCACACATCCCGTGAACACGACGGTGGACTTTGGGGGCACGACATCCTTCCAGTGCAAAGTGCGCAGCGATGTAAAGCCTGTGATCCAGTGGCTGAAGCGGGTAGAGTACGGTGCTGAGGGCCGCCACAACTCCACCATCGATGTGGGTGGCCAGAAGTTTGTGGTGCTACCCACGGGCGATGTGTGGTCGCGGCCGGACGGCTCCTACCTCAACAAACTGCTCATCTCGCGCGCTCGGCAGGACGATGCGGGCATGTACATCTGCCTGGGTGCTAACACCATGGGCTACAGCTTCCGCAGCGCCTTCCTCACTGTGCTGCCAGGTGTGTTCCTGGTGGGGAATCCCATTACTCCGTGCCACCCACATGTGGGCCAGCTCCTTGTCCTTGGTGGCATTCCCCTTACCTTGGTCTCTCTTCCAGACCCCAAGCCACCAGGAGCCCCCGTGGCTCCCTCATCTTCCACCAGCAGCCTGCCGTGGCCTGTGGTCATCGGCATCCCAGCGGGCGCCGTCTTCATCCTGGGTACTGTACTGCTGTGGCTCTGCCAGGCCAAGAAGAAGCCCTGTGCCCCTGTGTCCACCCCACCTGTGCCTAGCCACCGCCTGCCAGCCCCATCCAGAGACCGCATTGGTGACAAGGACCTGCCTGTACTGGCTGTGGGGCCGTGTGAGGAACACACACTGGGCGTGAGCTCAGCAGCTGGCCCCAAGCTGTATCCCAAGCTGTACACAGATGTGCATACGCACACACACTCACACACACACTCCCACGTGGAGGGCAAGGTGCACCAGCACCAGCATGTCCACTACCAGTGCTAGACGTCGTGGGCGTGGGGAGAGGCCAGGAAGCCAGCACCCTATGCGAGATGCGTGCTCACCGGCTGGGTGGTAAACAGACAAACTGCCAGATGGACGCACAGACCACTAGACATTGACACACAGACATGTTGCGTGTGTGCGCACGTACACACACACACACACACACAGACTGAGATGTCCTTGGAAGGCATGGGCCTTCGACTTTGCAGTGATGTAGCCATGCTAGTAGATGAAGGACCCTACCCACCTGCTACCTGTGTCCTGCCCAGCCTCTGCCCACTGGGGTGTCCAGGGCCCCCAGCCCCTGGCTGGAGTAAGGACCTCTTACCATTCTTAAGGAGGCGGGGAGGTGCAGACCTGTCTCCTGCTTCCCACTGCCTCAGAGCAGGGCCTTGATATTTATATTTAAGAATGGAGGTAATATTAATGATGAAGCAGGGCTGGGGCTTTAGGGCTGGCTTGTCTGGGGCCTTGGACACCTGGCCACACAGCTGTGGTGGTATTCACGCCCCTTGCAAACCAGCCACTCACTGCCCCTGCTCTCGCGGCCCTTGTCTCTGATTTTATATAGTTTGAGCTGAAGCCTCGTATATTTAATTTATTTTGTTAAACAAGAAAGTGTGCATCCTTTTCCTTGACATAGCTTCTGCCTCTGGTTGGTATTGTGCCTGCCATGTACACACATGTACTGATGTGTTATGGTTGTATGCACATGAGTGTTCACCTGTGGGCCTTGCAGCCTGAGGCTTGTTACACCAGGACTGGGGTTCCTTAGGCATGGCACACAGCTTACCCTGGCTGATCAGGCTTCCTGCTGTCCCAGCTCCCACTCCTCTGACAGCTGGGGGACTAGGGCCAGGTCATGGCCACCTTGTTTTCAGGGCTCTGTCCAGGCATCATCCTGGCCACCTCTGCAGTGGTGGACAGTGGTCTCCACTCTGTCGGCAGGCAGGGGCCTTGAGGGGTGCTGGGCCATGGGCTCACAGTATGTAGGTCTTAAGATGGCCCACTGTAGCAGCAATGAGGCCCAGAGGTGGGAGGGGAATTTCCCGGGGTTCTCCCACCTGGGGCACCCACATAGCGTGGGATCTGCCCCAGGGCTTTGGGGCCTATCCCTGGGAAGCTGTGGAGTAAGGTCCTGCCTTTGGGTAATGGGGTCGTTTGTGGCTGGCTGGCAGGCAGACCCTAGGGAGTGACCATGGGTCTGGTCACTCCTGGAGCTTAGAGGGAGCTGGCTGAGACCCTGAGCCCTTCTGACCTGAGGCCAGGTCCACCCAGAGACATAAGGTACCCTTGCCCCCACAGACCTGGGTGGGACAGTGGCAGATCCCTGGGCCTGGGTTCTCTTGGACCAGGCTAGACCCTTCCGGGGTCCTGGGAGGTCAGTAAGGGGTGGGCTGGCTCCTAAGCACACGGCCTGTGTTGGGCCCAGGCTGGGTGGAAGCACCTGTGGGACACCCTGCTGGGTCTCACTGGCCTCCCCCAGAAGGGGTGGACATGCTGGGTAGGTCCTAGTGGATGAAGGCTGGCAAGAAAGGGCCCCACCCCACCACCCTCATGTGGACAAGACCAGGCCCCAGTGACCTTGGGCCCTGCAGGAAGGTCAGTGAGCAGCTGTCAGCCTGCAGGAGGTATCCTCAGGGTGACCCCAGGGTCTTCTGATGGCCACTCGAGAGGGAACGCAGTTCTGGGTGAGGATCCTCGTGGGGCGCTGGATGAGGCTGGGCATGGTGCCAGCCTGCTTTTCCCTCTGTCGTCCTGCCAGTATCCCAGGCAGAGATAAGCTGGCCACTTGTGAGGGCCGGTGAACTTGAAAGGTTGGGCTGGGCCCTGACACCCTCGGGTGTGACCACTTCCCCACCCTCTGGCTTCAAAGGGTGTCCTGAGCCAACATGCAGCTGTCTTGGAGGGGGCAGGTGTAGGGGTGGAGAGCAGAGGAAGAGAGAGGGACAGCCCTGGCCAGCCTGGGGGTTAGAGGCCCTGGCTGGAGATTAGAGTCATTCCTCAGGTCCAGGACAGAGATGTGGGGACCCAGGCAGGGCCTCAGGTGAGGGCTGGGTAGACACGCCGAGTGACTAGGTGACGTTGCCAAGCCCAGGATGTGGTGCTGGCAGAAGGGGAGGGGAGGTGGGGCATGACCAGGGTGGGTCCCCTGCCAGGATGGCATCTAAAAGTTCCCTACCCTCATACTCCATGAATGGGGATGTGGTGGTGGCCAGGTCAGTGGCCACTTCATTTCTTCAACAGGAAGTGAGACACCAGCACCTGATTCTAGGATCTGGTCCAAGCCACAGCCACAGAAGGGTGCTGACCACCCATTCCTTCCAGGGTAGTGACAGGTGCTGAGCCAGCCAGGGGCCATGGCCGTGGAAGCCACCCTCATGGTGGGAGAGCTGAAGGCTGCATAGGGCAAGGTGACCTTGCTGTGGCCACACTTTCCTGCCTGGGATCTGCCATAGCCCAGGAAGGGCAAGGTGGTAGGAGGAGCTGGGTGGTGGCACCACCCACTGGGGGGGTCACAGGTGCATCTGGCTGCCCTCTCAGCCATGGCTGTTAGCTCCTGTCAGTACCCTCGCTGTGAGCTCCTAGTGACCCCTGTACCCTGAATGTTGTCCTTGCCCCAGGCATCAGGAGAGTGTCAGGCCTAGCCCCAGGCAAGAGCCTGTCTATCTGGCAGATTTCCCAGGGTTCTGGCCACGTTGGGAGGGGAGAGAAGGCAGTGTGTCCATGGAGGGCAGATGCGTGGAGTGGCAGAAGGGGCATCCAGCCTCCTGCAATGGCTCTTTGTGACCTTCCTGGAAAGCCTTGCACTCTTGGGCTTAACAGGTGGGGAGGTTGGGCCAGGGCCATGCTGGGTGGCCACAGGCCTCTCCTAGTGGGGACCACTGACCTCTGCCCTCATGTCCTCTCAGCCACTGTAGGAGCCCTCAGCCCTCTCCTTGCCAGGACCCTTGGACCAGCAGCTTGGGGGTGTAGGTTGAGGCTGTGCCTTCAGGAACTTGGGCCACTCTGCTACAGGGACAGACATACTTGGTGGGTGGGGCCTCACTGCCCTGTGAGGACATCAGAAGGCCCAGCATCTAGGCGGCAATGACCTTGTCACAGTCGATCCTGTTGCCCCTTGACATGGCAGGGACATGGGGAGCCAAGCTCTTCTGCTCTGTGGCCTGGGGCTAGAGCAGCTCCCCAGGGTACTCATGCAGAGTCTTCTGAGATAGGCACAATAGCCCAGGTTAGGAGGGTGCGATGTCAATGGCACCAGGCTGTACAGAGGAATTTTCCTTCTCTGCGCAGCTCTTTCCTCTGTTTTCCTTTCCTCTTTCTTCCAAGCACGTCCTCCACAGCTCCTTCCTGGAGCTCTTCCAAGACCCTCACACAGGCTGCTCTGCTCCACAAAGCCCCTTTGACTGCAGTGGTGGGAGCTGAAGCCACAGCCAGCAAGGGTGTTGTGGGGGCCGGGGCTGAGGCCTGGCACTGGGCAGCTAGGCGTCTGCTCAGGTCTGGGGGCTGCTGCATGGACAGCCTGACAAGAGCCCCTGCTGGCATCAGAGCCTGCCCTTCTCGGTAAGGGCACCCTGAGGGGACAGGCTCCGGCTGAGCGTCTGCAGGCCTTTGGCTCTCCGCCTCTGTGTGGTCTGGGCAGCATGCTCACGGTGGCACTCGCTGAATGCTCTGTGGATGGCCCTGTGGTGCCAGCAGCAGAGGTGAGCTTTGACTGTGCTACCCTCCAGGAAGCGGACTGGCCCCTATGGCTCCTTCTGGCCTCCCAAAGCCAACACCGGGCGTGGGCACCACAAACCCAAGGCCAGGGAGGCCCTGGCACAACCGGGCAGCGGGGTGGCTGGGCATGGCAGGGACATAAAACGGAGGGGTCTGAGCTGGCGGGGGCTGGGTTGGCACCCTTGAGCCTCATACAGAGCCAGGGGCTGAGCAAGGAGACCTGGGCAGCCAGGCCTCAGCTCCTGGTTGTGGGAGTGCCTGGGAGGAGCCTCAGGGCTGGTGCTGCCGGCTCTGGGCTTAGGAGAGCCATCCAGGGGAGCCCTGCTTGGCTGGAAGCACAGCCATCGCCCACAGGCCCAGCAGGGGCAGCGGCCAGTCCTGGAGCAGCCAGCAGCCTGCAACCAGGCCCCAAAGGAGGTACAATCCACCCTTTGTTCCCAAGGCAGCCGGGCCTGCAGGCCAAGAGGAAATGAGGGGAGCGCCAGCCAGCAGCCCTTGCCTGCTGGGCAGGCCTGGGCCGCTGCAGCCCAGCCCAGTAAAGGAGTGCAGAGGCTGGGGGTGAGGGCCCATCCCACCTCCACCCAAGTCAGCCCTTGCTGGACTCCAGGGGACACCAGGACCTGCGGCAGCCCAGGCCCTCTGTTGGGCATGCAGACTGTTGTAGAATCCAGGGCAGGGCAGAGGCCAGGGAGCTGGGCAGCTCTGGTGAGATCTCACACTGAACCTGAAAGTGCACGGCCTGTGGTCCTGCTCCACCTGGGTCAGGCTCACGTGGGGCCTCCAAGTGCCCACACAGCCCCATGCCCTTTACATTCTCTGTCCATTCTGGCCTCAGAAAATCCCCTGGGAAGATGGAGGGGGATGGTGGCAGCCAGGAGTCTGGCAGACCAGTTGTCCCACGGTGCCTGGTGATGCTGGCCACCTCAGAGCCCACCTCCCCTGCTATCGATGGGAGTGTGCACACACAAAACATGTACACAAACTTCTTAGCATGTGTCTGTGCACACATGTGGTCATGCTGAGTGAAACACCCACCCTGTGTGCATGTGTGCACCTGTGATTGCTGTACACAGTGCCCCAGGCCTGCTTATGTGGGTGCAGTGTGTGCAGGTGTGCCCTTGTCCATGCAGGACTAGGTGTGTGCACGTGAACATGTGTATACCAATGGGGTGACAATGGAAGCCCTGTTGTTCCTTTCTTGTCCCTCTGCGTCAGTGTGGGACAGGGCCCATGTTCAGGCCAAGTCCCCTTGGGCATCCTGGCCCTCTTATAGTATCTGGGAACTGGCACCCCACACAGCTGCCCACCGGAGTCTCCTAGACCATGTTTAATGGGGACAGCTGGAGGCTGGATGTCGCCTCTTCTTTCTCAGGACATATTCAAGGCTGAAAGTTGAGCTCTGGAGCCCCTGGCCTGGCAGATCTTATCTCCACACTGGACTCCTTCCCTGGAGACTCAGCTGGGCAGGGCCAGGCTTTGATCTACTGAGGCTGGGACATGCAGACTGTCGTACCTGGGCACAGTGGCTCTCCTGTCACTGGCCCCCTGGGGCCGGCCTCAGTCCTTATACTGGGCTATCAGGGACAGCCTGAGCCTGAAGCTCACTTAGATTGGAGTCACCCAGTCCTGGAGCTTTTGGCTCCTACGAGTGTGCTGCACAGGCCTATGGAGCCCTGAATGCTGGCTGGGCAAGAGTGTGGCCTGTGGCTCAAGAAGTCCATGCTCTGGGCCCTGCACAGTGCCACAGCCAGGATTCCTGGGCTAGCATGGCTCCTAATGCCTGGGACACTGGCCCCCACACAGAGGGAAAGATTCTGGGCCATGTGTGTGCCCACACAGTTGTACCAACAAGACTCTCCTCTCCACTTCTGGGGCTGGAGCTGAGCCCACATACCCAAGAAGGCCCCACCTAGCCTGGCTCCTTCCAGCCATGGGCTCCCTGTAGGATGGATCCCCATGTCATCAGCCTGAGACCATGCTGCCGAGGAAGGACCCCTGTGCCCCCAGAGTGAGCTGGTCAGGCAAGGCACAGCACCAGCAGGACTTGAGCAGTGCTGGGCCTGGAGAGAAGGAGCTGTTCCCTGGGTATGGAGGGCCCAGGAACTCCACACTCCTGAGGCCCGCTGGGGGCCTCTGTCCCGAGGGACAGTCTCTATTAGGAAACAGCACCATGGACTGACGTCTGAGCCAGGCATGGGAACAGACCCTGCTGGCTGTGAGGCGACCCCAGGCCTCTCCAGGGAACAGGTGCTCCATCCTGGACAGGGACCTTCTCTACCATCTTGGCCCGTGCCAGCAGTCTGGGTTCCAAAGTGCCACCGTTTATTTCTCTCCACCCACTACAAAATGCCTGGCCCCGGCTTATGGAAGTGCTGCACTTGCCCAAGAGAGGGCTGCAGAGTCAACAATCTTTGTTCTGGGGGTTTGCCAGCACAGGGCATGGCAGCCGCTTGTGGGAAGACAAGTAGCCACAGGTCCTGGCCTGGCAGTGCAGGCCTGGCCCAGGAAGGGTGTATGGGGTGAAAGCTGCCCTCACACAGCCATGGCATCACCTAGTTGCCTGGGCTGCACACACTGCTGCTCTATGCCCAAGTGCTCTTAGGGTTGGGCCTGGGCAGGGGCTCACAACCACTCTCACCTGGCCCTGCTCATGCCCTCTGCACCTGGAGAACATTGAGGGGGAGGCGGCTCAGGTGGGTCCTGAGGGTCTCTAGTGGGGGAATGCAGCTGGTTCTAGGAACTGATCCCTTTCTCCTGGAAAGCAGCGCCTTTTGAGAGTTTGCCGGAAGCCATTTGTAAATTGCAGAGGGGTCAGCTTTCAGGAGAGTAGAAAACAGCTGGAGTCTTGCGGGGGAGGCCAGGCAGCAGGACACTATGGTGCTAGTTCTGGGGGAGACGCTTAGCCAGGTGGCACTCAACTCCTGGCATGGGGATGGACATTCAGGGCCCAAACTCAGGTCCAAAGAAGTGGGGAAACAGGCTTCTATGGCTTGGAGCCAGAGGGGCTGTCCCTGAGGAGTCCTCTGTCCCAGGTAGCCGCCTGTGTGTCTCCATGTGGCCTGCCCAGAGCCTGGCCAGTGGGAAGCAGAAGAGCTAGGCAACCCAGACTTCTGCAAGGCTGTCACCTGGGGCTGAGCTGTGGGACTAGGGTTGTGTATGTATCCATGTAAGCACATGCACACACATGCATACATGGTATCCATGCACCTGAGCCTGTGTGCACAAATGAGTACCTGCATGTGTTTGCACTGAGCTTGTGTGTGCCTACAGGAGTGTGTGCAGGGTGCTTGCATGTCTCTGGCCTCCACTATGGTGTAGGTTAAGGGGCTCACGACACGATATAGCTCTCATACCCAGAAGTCCCAGGTGCCTGGGCCAATACTTATGTGGTACCCGGGCAGTATGGGTGTACTGGGTGCACCCTGTGTTGTTCTGGTGCCCCAAGGTGCCCTGCAAGGCTTACTGCAGCCACAGCCTTGCCACTCCAGCCCACCTAGAGGCATCAGTCAGGACCCAGATCCCCGGTCAGCCCACTTCTGTGGAGGCAACTTGAGCTCCAGCTCTACTGACTATGCCCGGGTGTGGGCCAGTGTTGCAAACAGTCCTGAGGACTGGCCTTCAGGGAGTGTGGAGGCTGAGGGTCCCAGAGGCAGGAGCCAGATGAGTTTCTGGCAGTGTGGGCTGTGGGTTGCTCTGGAGCTGATCATCTCTCTGCACCCTCCTGCCCCACCTGCCCAGGTCAGATATGCATCCCACACCCTCCACAGCTCTGGGTCCTGGGCCACTATGGCTTTTCGATAATAGCTGTCCGGTGGATCTCAGCTGCCTCCAGGCGTGGGATCTCCTTCTGCCCCCCCAGAGGGGCCTCCCGAGGTGACCCTGGCCCTGGGGGGGTCGTGTGAACAGAGCCATCCTGGCTGAGCCTTTGTGTCCCCACAATAGCAAAACTTGATGCCTCGTCTCACATTACTGGGCCAGCCACACAGACTCACAGGAGCCCCTCTCTCCACTGCCCTGATGCAGCCAGCAGGGAGGACTCAGCCTCACAGAGACGCAAGCATGGGCTGCTGGGCTGGTCCCCAGGGCTCGCTGCTCTCATCAGCAGGGCCAGTCCTCACACTGGTCTCGCTGGAAGTTCCTGCCTCTGCTGCCAATTTGTTTGAGCTGCAGAATGGAGAAAGCAGACATGCTGGGCAAGAGCCTGCAAGAGGGTGCTAGGCTAGCAGAGGGCAGCACCAGCCCGGGGTGCACCTTGCTGGAGCCAGGGGCCACCTGTCCAAACCCACAGACCTGGCATCCCTGAGGCTCAAATCCAAGTCAGACCACGCCAGACCAGAGTGGCCAGCAAATACCATGGGCTCTGGGGCCAAGGCACCTTCTACCCCCTCACCCCCCAAGTGCTTCAGGAGCCATTCAGGGGCCAGTTTCCATCCTTTATTTGGTAAATACACACACACACACACCCCTGTGCACACATATCAGCCAAATCTCTCTCTCTTTCTCTCTCTCACACACACACCCCTGTGCACACATATCAGTCGGATGCCTGGGCTGAGCAAAGGCATGTAGGCTACGGGGCTAACCTGAGGGGTCAGTAGGTGTGGGGTCTGCACACTGGCACAGTCCAGGCCTTGGGGGACCCCCTGGGGTGGGAGGCTGTGGGTGTGTGGGCTGCGCCTGATCAGGGGCCACTGATTTCTGCAATCCAGAATCCCCAGTCCCCACCTTCTATCCCTGCAACACTTGAGTTCCCTGTTGGCCCCCGTGACTGCTGGTGCCTGGACAGATGAGTTGGGCTGCTCCCTCCTCTGCACTGGTCATATGGCCCCTTGCAGTGCCTGGTGCAACCCAGTGAGGCCATCACCTCAGGTTGCAGGCTGGGCAGAGCCAGGACACAGGGTGGGTGGCCTATCTGCCCTACTAGGCCCTTCCAAGCTGGACTTCGCTGCCTTCCTCTGCTCTCC